GCATTGGAAAGCGACCTTTTTCCATCTAGCGGGCCTTAACGGTGCATACTAGTTGCATCCCAAAATATACGAATTGCCTCCCATCCTTATCGTAAATAAAAAGGTTAATATACACTAGTTGCCTCCGATGACCAGGTAGTTCATAATAATATACGAGTTGCCTCCCAAGAATTTTCACACTAGTTGCCTCCCGTACAGAATTAAGTAGTGGTTCATAAACTTCACTAAAAAAAATCGGATAAATAGATGCATTTATAAAATTAACATAATTAATAAATATTTTATGTTTTATTAGGTATAATATACGACATGTATATACAAATTACACAACTATAAAAATAATAAATCAATTATAGGTAGTCAATAAGTCAAACAAAATAGGTAAAATACAAAAAGTTATTTATAACATTGCTTTCGCTTATATTTTTTAGCCAATATTTGCAGGTACTCAAAATTTGATATTTTTTTTTCATTCAGCTTTTTTATTTGAGTATCATTAGTATCAATGAAAATTATTTTGTTTCTAATTTGTAATCAACCATGTAGTTTAGGCTTATTAGAACTTTGTATTAAAATTACAGTCTCAGTGTGAATTAGTTTTAAAACTTCGATAAATTTATATATATATTAGGATGCGGCGACTCAAAATAGCTATTAAATTTGATATGGAAAGATTCGCATGCATTGGTTGTGAGCTGAATGCTTGAACTTTTTTCTGCCCATGTATGAGGTGGAAACATTGAATCCTCTGATATATATGTATACATGTATATATGTATCTACGAAATAGTCTGAAAATTGAGTTATTTTATCATCTAAAGGCTGTATGGCTGCTAGTTCCATTGAAAACATATCTCCGACTTCCGCTAGGTTTTAAAATGATAGGCCAAATTCGTATAAAAATTATTGACCTTTCTGACTTCAGGAGGCAACTAGTGTGCGCCCCTACGACGGTACACCACACTTCATAAGGATAGAATATTATTGATACAATAATGATACAATCACAGAACAATTGTTCTGTGATAAAATGATACATTATTATTGATGATATCTACTCAGAAATGTCAGATCTATAAACTGTAATAAATTAATCATATTAATTATACAATAATTTTTAGTCAATGTGCTATGACCATGTCCATTTGATCAGAGTATGAGTTTAACTCATGAGTTAAGTAATTATTATTTATTTGTACGCGCCAAGCCATTATGCATATCGCGGGACGCTTATCTATGTTCCGGTGACCGTTGTCCACATTATCTCCCTTTTATTCAATATCCATACACCAAACATTCCTTCTAATTGGAAATTATTAAAATTATTAATTACCATGTTATGTAATGTCTTTGTTTTCTTTCAATCGTTTGCCTCTATGTCAAATGTCTTTGTAGATTATTCATATTATCATTATGTTGATGTTATATTTTTCTGTTCATCATTCTCTTATGTTTTCACTTACGTGCCTTTTCACTTTTCAGTCGTATAAATTGTTCAATGCCATTACGGCACTACTTTTTTTATTGTTGTCTTCGCCATTGCGGCACGACCAACCATTATAATTTATAACCAACACTGCTGTATCTTCGTGTGCTAATACAGCCACACGAATTGCTGTTCCAATAAATTCAATACACAAAACAATAAGTGAGTTTACTTATTGTTATATATGATATACTGTATTAAACATTTGTACGTGTACCCATAGAGAATAATACCAACTCGTCGGTCATTGCACCACACCGAATCGACCACGAGGACGACCCCACCCAACATTAACTAGACTGAATATTCCATGTTTCCGTTGTATAAACTGCTTCCGTCCTTTCATAACATCCGTCTTTCCGATTCAGGTTGCCGGTCGTGTGCCGAGCCATTCTACGTCTCAGACCTCAGGCACAGCACCAGGTATAATAGGTTGCCTATTCAATCGTCTTTAAGGGGCATCGCGATACCGTGAAAGAAGTTGCCTATGCACTACCCCTTATAGGTATAAAATGTCTTAAAAATGACCTACTCGCTATTGCACTTTCGGGCAGACTGATTTTATCGTATTTATCGTACTAATTACCTTATAATTATTTTAAAAATTAAATATTATATAATATAACTGCTATGCATTATAATTGGGATATTTAAAAAAACAAACAAAATTGAACATTTTAATTGGTCTTCGTTCTATTTTTATATCAATATCGCTATTTTATAACTATTTCATTATAACTAAATTGTATATTATTACAAATATTGTTATATTCAATTATCTTGATGATAATTATATCAGGTAGATATGCTAATGAGTATATTGCAGTACCTACTATATCTATATACTTATATACCTCCGCTCCGCAAATCGAAAATATCCCCCGACTTGCTGTGCAACACCTTCCCAAGTGGGTCACAGGGTTGAGAAAATTGCATTTTTGTTGCACCGAGCCACCAATTTGAAAAAAACATCGTACAGTGATGTGGTGCTAGCGGCACTCGTCGCTACGCTCCTCGGCGCCGTCGCTCCGCTCCGCAAATCGAAAATATCCCCCGACTTGCTGTGCAACACCTCCCCAAGTGGGTCACAGGGTTAAGAAAATTGCATTTTTGTTGCAGTTATGTTGTATAGTATGGGCAGTGATCCCTTGTTAGTGGCACTCGTCGCTGCGCTCCTCGGCGCCGTCACTCCGCGCGGTAATCTAGTAGTGTTGCGCGCATGCGTATAAACGTAAAATCGTTAACTTTGGGAGGCTATAACTTCCAAAATAATGGTTTCCGCACAAAAATTCAAACAGTTTCGAAATCAGCGTTGAAAAACACGTCTTTAAAAAAAAAAAAAATCGAAATTCGTGAGGGGCGTGGTAAAGTGCATTTTAGCCGGTATAGTATGTCCCGTCCGATCGAGTGACACTTCGCTTAGCTCCAATAAGTAGCATTTTTGGCTTTTGCCCACTATACATTATTAATATAAAAATAAATAATTAATCAAGTTTGTGAAGTAGTAATTTTTTTAAATATATATATATCTGTTGGGGGGGGGGGGGGGGGGCAGGGGAGTCCAGTACCCCTAGACCTCTCCATACATCTACCACAGGAATTTTTTTTTATGAAATGTTGATATTTTATGCTCAACGTGTTGGTGAAATAAGAATTTACCTATCTTACTTACTTTTTTGTTATTTTTAATAAACAAAGTAAAACCTATAATTAGTGTTAAATAACATAGGAAGTGACTACACCGTATTATATTTATATCTACATCGAGGTCTGTGGATACGTCCTATCTAGTATCTATTTTGTCACGGTTATATACTTATATCACTATATTCTTTTTAACAATGAATACAATAATAATTACTCTACAGTTTCTACTCATGGAGACTAGAATAAGGAGACCAAACTTGTAAGGCCTCCCGTATGAAAAAAAAACGTCCCGAAATGAGTGGTTGTTGCCTTCATTTTCCAAATAAGGAACGACAAAGGAACGGAATGAATTCTTTTTTATAAGGAACTTGCCAAACACTGGTTATTTTATACCTATACTATTCGATACACTATACATATGACGTGTCTGTGGCAGGAACGGATCCAGAGCAAAGATCTTGGGGGGAGGGGGCCCAACAATTTTTTTACAACACAAATACAATTATAATAAAATATTATACTTTATTCTTAATTTAAAAATGTTGTCATAATAGTAGGTAGGTATATGTAATCAATGTGATAAATAAGTTATTGATTATTTAATATATAAAGCAACAATGTGAAAAGAAGTTTAGATTTTGTTTATTTGTTATTTAATATATACCTAATATTTATATTTATAAGAAAAATATGTCTTGGGGGGCCTGGGCTCCTAGCCCCCTCCCCTGGATCCGTCAAGGGTCTGAGGTATCTCTTTGGTCGATCGTTTTATACCGATATGGAGATAGGTATGTATCGTTTATTCGATTCATTCAAATTTGAATGTTGAAATTTATGAAATATGCTATTTACAATATTATGCATCATGTATGCGCATGTATAAATGCATCATCGTACAATCTACACAATTTAAAAAGGGTTATGCTTCAAAAATGCATTTCTTTTCCAAAAACATAAAAAGCATGAAAATCTCTAGTATGCAACACGGATTTAAGTATAACAACCTTAGTGATCCTAGCGCAACCTGTGACAAAACTGGGTAGTCAGTAGGGTTTCGCAAACATGTTAATATTATGCAATTACGAAAAATTTGGAAAATGTACTATGACCAGCTGCTATAAAACACATTATTATTACTCACCAATAAAATACTTTATAGGACATAGGTAATAAAAACTTGATCATGCCGTAGCCGTATTATTAAAAGTTGAAGCGGATTTGTGTGAATATTATGTTTGAGGAACCCTGCTAAGTTTTGTCCGCGGGTCGCGCTGCAATCGAGTACCTGACACCTTCGTGATTTTGTGAAACAACAAACATTGGTCACTAGCAAGTAGCAACTAGCGACTCGCAACTATCGATGTGTATAGTTATAATACATGGTGCTATCAGTGCTATGGTAGTATGGACGTATGGTAGTGCCACTTCACTATCGAAATCACAACTATCGCCATCACTATCAAGTATCGATCAGTATAAGGTGGAATCGTGGAAGTGGAACCAATGAAATACTAGACATTTTTGATTTTTCCGCTAAATTTAAATTACTCATATTTTATTGGTTCTACCTAAGTTTACTCAATAGTATTGGCGATAGTTGGGATTTCGATAGTTAAGTAGCACTAACATGTATTATAAATTATAACTAATAACTATTAGGTATTATAAGTTTATAACATTAACTACGTTGGTCGCTATTCACTAATCACTACTAGTCACTAGCTCACAAGTATTCTGTATTACTCAGTTTTCAGGACTCATAGTTCATACTATTCAGTTTTCACTGCTCACTGGGACGCCTCAGCCGAATCTTTATCGAGTCTTGCCTACGTTACTTGTGTGCCTTCTATAAGGTCTTATTTTCACGATGAAGAAAAACGAAAACACCCAACATTTCCAGTAAGCTACGAGTTTAAACAATTCGTTCTTTAATTTTTCAGCCACATGACGACCATACAATTATTGTTTTAGATACAAAAATGGCAACCACGATACAAACACTACAAATTACAGCACTCGGACACCACAAATTAATAAGTTAAAAGAGTTTAATCAACCTGGCAAGGACACTAGCGACGCTGGTTCATTGTGAGTAGTCAATATTTTTAAATTTGGATTTTGATAACCTGCATTTTTTTATTAGCCCTTAACAATGTAGAACAATCCTCAAATTTGTTTTATTGTATTACAATATTTAGAATTGTTACTGTAAATTGCTTGTCCATTTTCATATTTTTTTTATTCATTGTTCTAAAAAACAAGAGATCCATATGTAGATACAAAAATCTAAGACCCACTTCCCATTTGATTTTGAAGATTTCCAATTTTCCCCAATTCTATACAATTTTAAAATTATATTTTATATTATTGTTGCCACCTCAATTATAATACTTTTTCAGTAATCTACTGTTAAACTAAAAATTGGTGAGATTTTTTAAAATTTTTTTTGTACCTTCATAGTTGAATCCCAAAGTACCTTCAATTAGGTAATTCATTACAATTAGAAAGTATTAAATCTGTGGAACAAAGTTAGTTTTAGTTTTCTAAAACATAATTCAAATTTATTTTATTTATTATGAGTGTATGAAATATAAATATTATATTATATTTTATTGTATAGGCATTTTACAAATGTATTGAATATTACTGTATAATATTATAATAAATTTAAAAAATGAATTTATTCAAAATGCATGACATCAAAAATAGAACGTGGCTTTATAGGAAAAACAGCCTGCATGGGGCGGTCAGCGTATTAAGAATAAATATTAGAAAATACTAAATAAACATTTATGTTATGCTTTGTATGTAGGATAAGTGTTACCTGTAGGTTATAAGTATTACTAATCAATAATCATTAATTAAACATTTCAGAATTTTTTTTTTTATATAATATGACATATTTAGTACCTGTTACACTTTAAAATGAAAACTATATTTTTAGTGTAATCATAATGATTTTAATTTACAATTGTTTTTTAGTTATAGTTGTTTATTTACACCTGGTAAAGGTTTCGGTGTTAGTTCAACTGAGAAGGATGCATGGTATTACAATATGAATCATACAAAACGTGGGAAGGCTATAATTTTTAATCATGAACACTTTCAAGTTAAGAATAAAAAGTTGGAATCTAGAGCTGGAACTGGGATGGATTGTCGTAATTTAGAAGTATCCTTAAATAACCTCGGTTTCAGTGTTACTCCATATGAAAATTTAACGTTGGACGAACTGAATGATAAAATTGACTATTGTATGTATACATATAATTTTAACCTTTCTTTATACACAATATAGTATTGATTCAATTTTTATTCAAATTATAATTATTTCTATTCATATTATTATTGTTACATTATCTCTTTTAGCATAATATTTTCTTTATTAAAAACTAACCAATTTTATCTACTATCATGTATTTATAAAGTATAAGTTATTTTATTTTAACAGGGGCTAAAAATGACTATACAAAACATGATTGTTTTTTAATGGCGGTATTATCTCATGGTGAACAAGGAATCATTTATGCTAAAGATAGAGGTTATAAACCAGAGGATACTCTTTGGGGACGATTTACTGGTGACAAATGTGTTACATTAGCTGGTAAACCAAAGCTATTCTTCATTCAGGCTTGTCAAGGAGACCGATTGGACAGTGGAGTTGAGTTAAGAACACAAGTGGATGGTCCTTCTTCATTCAAAATACCAATTTATGCTGATATGCTTATAGCATACTCTACAGTTCCTAGTAGGACAATTTTAAATCATGACTATTTTTAATTAAAATATTTTATTTAAGAGTTTATTTAATACTTTAAACTTTAAACACAAAAAAAGTTTATTAACGTGATCTTATAATTTTTTTTTAAGTTTTGAATTTAGTAATAGGATAGGTGTCTTCTGTAACTTTGTGAATTGTACCAAGTAAATTTAAATTCTTATAAATATCTAAATATAATTAATAAGAACAGGAAAATATTACCATGTATGGATAATGGTCTTTTTAACATTTAGTAAAAATTTAAAGTATCTAAGTTCATTAGTTTTTAAATTACAACAAATTATCAAAAATTGATAGATTAAAATTCTTTAATTTACCTATGTAAATCCAATATTGTAAAAATTTAAATTCAAACACTCATAAAAATTAATGTTGCTTTTCAGTAATTTTTTTTTTTTTTATGAAGGTAGGTAAATTTGGGAGGTCTTCTTTCAACATTTATAATGTCAGCTTGTAAAATTAAACGGTTTATGAATTTCTAACTGAAAAATTTTTGATATTTTGTTGAAATTTTAACTTCAATTGCATATAAAAAAAAACGTGTATGTATTTCTGATTTTTTTGAACTCACATTTATGAAACTTATAAGGTATTTTGTAATACATTTTTAAGCTTTCTTACTAAGTGAAAAAGTTTTTATCGAGAAATGTTTAAAAATAAATTACAAATTTCTAAAATTTTCTCAAGGCTATAACCAGCCCAAAAAGAGTCAAAATATTATGAAAATGATACGATTTATGTGAAATTCTAATATAAATATTTGGTGAAAATTTCAATGGTCTACGGTTATTAATTTTTGAGTTACACCAAAAAAATTAATTAAATTTCCTAAAAAATTGGTTTTGAGTAAAAATTATCACTTTTCTTTCAATTTTGACCTCCCAAAAGTTGCAACTAGATTCACAGAAGATACTGATCTCAAAGCATGCTTACTATCCAAAATGTTGCTGACAGACAGAATAAAAAACACACATCATTGTAAAACTAAAACATTCTTTCCTTCGGTTCAAAATCTAGAAAAATATTTTTATTTTTTAATACTGAACATTTTAAAGTTAATTAAAATTTTGTTGGTTACATGGATATATTTTTTGAATTTGATTATAAAAAAAATTTTGATGGTAAAAACATTTATCTAAGTCAAGTAGCTTATTTATTAGAATTTTTCAAAATATTATTTTTGGGAATTTGGTGACATGAGTATATTTCTTATCTGGTCTTCCTGCTGTTACACTCTATATAATATAATATATATTGCTTGTAACTTGTAAATTGTAATAACCATCAGGCGTTATGTTAAAATTAAAATAACCCATGGGTATATAAATATAATGTTTATAGGATTGTATATTAAAGATAACAACATAAAATTGGTTCTGCTGAATTTTCTATGTTGTACATTTATAAGACTGATACACATACAGTTTGATATCCTCTTGTGTATCGTTTTCAGATTTTGCTGCATGGCGCAACCCCAAAGGATCTTGGTTTATAGAAGCCCTGTGCGATGCTCTCAATAAATATGGTTATGTACATGACCTATTAACTATACTGACATTGGTGAATCGTAATGTGGCTATTGAATTTGAATCTAATTCCACTGATCCTAAGATGAATAAGAAAAAACAAATTCCTTGTATTACATCTATGTTAACCAGATTTGTAAAATTTGAAAAAGAAAATTAATGTACTGGTTACATACAACTAACATGTTTCTGTTGTGTATTCAACGAGATAAATATTCATTAAAGTATTAACTAGTATAAGATTACAAATTATAATTTGTATAATAATAATTTTATTTTAATTGAAGCTCAATTTTCAACTAGAGTCCTTGCCAAACTTACTGGCAGTCAGTGACTCCGCCCACCGCGAGGCGTTCAACACCTAGTGCCACAAATGTATTTGGCACATTTTACCTATGCCTAAATTAATCGTGTTTTTGTGTGCAAAACTGTGAATTTTACCTAAAATATAGTATTTCGATTGCATAATGATATCTGGGGCGGAGACACCAACCGCCATCATAGGCGCGAATATCCAAATTATTTTGGGAGGACTTAAGTTCCTAATATAATATTTTCTAAAAATTATATATGTTCAGTACTAATTACTAACTTTTGAACTGGGGGGACTTGAAAGAAATATGGGGAACTAGGTCCCCCATATTTGTGCCAATGATCGCCATTAAGTTTGGCAAGGATTCTAAGCCTAGTTAACGGTTTAACAATAGTGTTCAACAATTTAATATTTATAGTAATGAATCAAAAAATTTGAACCACGATCTTAAAAGATAAAATATCTTATAAGATTCCGTGATTTAAACTATCTTTAAATTTATTTTTATAACATATACATTACTGTGTAGTGTTGCATGTTCAAAATGACCCGGCTTAAATACAATTACTAAACATACTTTACTTTTTGATAGAAATTCTAATCTTATTTTATATTTGGATAAAATTGATATTTTTTTTATAATTCATAAAATACTTATTTAAGGTATATAAATTAGTTAAGTTAAGATATTAAATTGTCTTCAATCTAGTTCTTAACTTTTATGTATGTTATCATTTACCTCGACTTAAATTATTGTATTATTTGTTATTAGTTTATAATTTAAGCTGTATCATGTATATTGCTATTAAATAAATAAATAAGTTAAATTTGAATACTGAAGAATTGATGAAATTATTCAACGCCTATTAAGGGGAGGGAATAGGGATTGCAAACTATCAGTTATTTCAACCAAAATGTACCAATCTTTAGGGGTAATACTAAAACCCGAAACTGGATGGGACCGATTCCATTCCAAACGGTGTTAAGAAAAACGGCTGCATCCGAATTGGGTCCCGAATTCAAAAAATGCTTTACTAGTTGGGTCCGGGATTTTTGCAGGTACTACACTAGTTAGGTCCAGGATTTCTACAGGTACTCCACTAGTTGGGTCCAGAATTTTCACAGGTACAACTATAGTTGGGCTCTTAATTTTTTTTTTGGTGAGTACTACATAAGTTTATTTTTCTTCCCATTTTAACAGACTTAGGACTGTCTATTTAGACCAAAGGTATGGTTAAAAATACATAGATTTTATATAATATAAATAAAATATTGCTTAAAGAAATCACACGTGTGTTGGTAAAAATGTATAAGACATTCATTTTGTCTTTTATAAATTTTGATAAATTGATAGTTGTAATATTTAAAAAAATGACTTACATGATCTCTGAATGCACCTCCATCGTTCAATATCATTTTTCAGTAGTTTTTTAAGTGTAAGTTTAAATCTTTCTTTAAAATATAATTTTTTACCTTTTTCACTGAATATAATATTAGCTTCTTCCATAGTGCTAGTCACTAGAACATAGAACGCTCGTCTTGTCGTCTCTAGATAACTTGGCACAGCGGTGGCGGAACAAATCCGGCGGCGTTATCGCAATTATTATCGCACGGGATAGTTTCTTGAAGTTTATCAGATGATGTTATTTGATATTGTCTAACAATAAACTATCTTTTTAAAGTTTTTATTGGAGTCCTACAAAGTTACCTTTCAATGACAATATCTATAAGAAATAATCTTAGATAATTGGGCAGTGGGCACTGACATATTTCATACAGGAAAATACCCAAAAATTCATAACCAAAAATATACAATATGACAATATTTTTCGTTTGGATTGTATATTTACTTAAAATGATCCCAGACCCAACTAGTGTAGTACCCAAAAATATCCTTGACCCAACTAGTGTAGTAACTGCGATTTATCCCTAGTACTCGGGACCCAATTCGTATATATAGGTAGTCCAAATTGTAGACGGGACGATCCGCAGTCTTGTCAAAAATGATTCAAAACTTATGAAACTTACACCAACCAGGCACGGATCCAGAGCAAAGATCTGGGGGGGTGGGCACGGTGGTGGACCTACCATTTTTCAGCCCCTAGGCATTACAACCCTAGCGCCCCTACATTGGCGTGCTCCCACCGGGGGGGGGGGGGGGGGTAATGTTCCGTGAAATAAAACAAAACTCTAGGTAGGTACTGATTAAAGTGGTGAGCACTAGTCTCTATAATCGTAATCAATTAGCAGATTTCTGAGCAGTATGCACAATGCACTAATGCACTATGCAGGAGACGGGCGACAGTGCTAGCGTCGCGCGTCGTCGTAATGTTTATTATTCAATTTAAAGACGTCTGATTTCCAGAATTAATTCCAGTATTCTAAGAATAGACTAGTTTGGTGCAGAGTGCTGGATAAGGCGGGTCATTCCAGTTAATATCAAATAATTTACTTGCTAAGCACTGTGCGAGCTGTCCCCTACCTAGCTAGTAGAGCGGGCATATACAATGTACTCTGCGGCCTGAGGCAGTATATTTGACTGCCTTAGCTGGCGTTTTGCGCAGTGGCGTATTTTCAATTTTTTTCTGGGGGTGGTCCAATAATTCCAACATAATATAGATATAGGTACTGATTTATAGAAATAGTTTTTAATAGATTATAAGAATAAAAAATAGTTGTTTTATTATATTTTATAATTTTCAAGTACAAAATCCAAGTGTCTTTTTTTTTACAAAGTTTTATTTTTTTATTTGAAGACATATTTATTCCAATTCCAATTTCCAAACAATAAATGGATACAAATAAATTATAAATTATACAACTATAAAAAAAATAAATTTGATAGCATTTATTAAATAATTATGAAATGTTAGGTTTTGGCAAATCTGTATTTACACCTATCACAAATGAGAGACAATAATTATTCTCAGTACACGTTGACAATTAATATTATTTCGATAGCCGTTTAATAATATTATGTTGTCAACTTCGTGTTAACACGTAAAAATAATGAAAGGTTTAAATTGTAGAAATAATATGACTTTATGACGACAGTCGTCCATATCACTCTGCTAACCTCTGCACAGAAAATAAATACTAAGTAGGTAAACATGGTTCTAAATGAATACTAATTGTCGGCCAGTAGACTCCAAAAATTACATTAATGCAGTGCCGTAAAAACCGGGTGTGCAAAGTGTGCACCGCACACAGGCCTCGGGCCTCATATATATATCGAAGGGCCTCAAAAGATCTAAAGACTAATATTAAACTAATATAAAATTATTAAAATATATAAATTATTTATTATTGATTTGGAAACGAAACCAATGTTATTTCATTTTTTTTTTTATATTGCCTGGAGTCGTGATCACTGTTTTTAGATTTTGAGAGGAACGAACAAATGTACTGATTTTACAAGATGTGTATAATTTTTTTCATTTCTGTCGGTCATCAACATTGGGTAGTAAAAATATTTCGAATTTCGAGATCAGCATTTTTTCTGTTAGAAAAGTGAATCTAGTTGGTACTTTTTTAGATCGAAACCGAAATTTTTAGTTTTAAATATTAAAAAGTGTCAAAAAAAAAAAATTGTCATTTTTACCTAAAACAAAAATGTTATTTTTTGGTATAACTCGAAAACGAACAACCGTAGTCCGTAGACCATTGAAGTTTTCACCAAATATTTATATTAATATTTTCAATAAATTACATTTTGGAAATTTTTACTTTTTTGAGTTATTTATAGCCTTGAGAAATTATTTTAAAATTATAGATTATTTTAAATTTAAATTTAAATTTTTTTTTGTTTAAGCCCGAATTTTTGCCTGCTGACTTTAAAAATTGCAAAAAAAGTTTTTGAGGTGTGTATTGAAAAAGATAATAAGGGGCCTCAATATTTTGGTTTTGCACACAGACCTCAAGTAGCCTAGTTACAGCACTGCATTAATGTTTTATGTTATTATAAAAAATAATAAATTCTTTACTGCTCACATCGGATCAATGAGCTATTATTATTATTTACTACATAATTTACTAGGTGTATATTTAATTTGTACTTACATAAGTAATAGATCTAATATATTTTATTGAAGAAATAATATTCAAATACATGCTGCACTCGTAGCCGACTCCGTCGTTCGGTAACAAAATACAAACATGAAGTAATATTAGTAAATGATTCTACGACAATTGCCGTGTTTACAAAGCAAAAATTCAAATAGATAAATAATAGCTACCAGCTATACTGTCCTATAGAAATAGTTTATTGGAGAATGATGTGCGTCGTCAATTTCTTGCGATAAGAATGTTTTGACTTTTTTGAGAATTATTGATGTTTATCTAATATGGGTATTTTATAAAGTGTAATACTACAATACAAGGATAAGTTTAGTTACACGGGTTTTTGAACGTTCGGTCGTTGGCTAATTTTAAACTAATATTTCATATAAATATTTTGTTCACGGGAAAAAACCTTGTCTGCGTGGGCTTACATAAATATCGGGGTTTGCAAATATCTAATACATTTTTTTTTTTTTGGAGAGATTCTGGGGGGGGTCCAGTACCCCTGGACCACCCCCGTAAATACGCCACTGGTGGTAAGCTAGATTTGTTCCTAATAAAGTATTATAATTATTATATGTAAATTGTAAGTAGGTACATATATTAAATTCATAAAGTGTCCATAGGGGGAGGGGGGGTTAAACCCTAATCCCTATAAACCTCCCATGAGCATTGAACACACCCATGCTTATTCATATTATTTTTGTGAGCGAATACCATTAAAGTCCTTAGCATTGAACCCCTAACCCCCCCCCCCCCCCATTGAGCACGCAAATGCGGAGCAATGAATGTATTTTCAGATGAAAAGTGGACCAATCTAGCCCCTAGGAAGGTACCTGGTATTTTTTTTTAGTCTTTGTTAAAATACAATAAATAATAATCTTCTTACCTACTAAAAGCTAATTCAATGTAGGTAGGTACTGCACTTGCTAAAGTAGGTACCTACCAGGGGTGGCTCCAGTGACATGGTTAGGGGGGGGGGAGTCATAGTTTTCTGCCGATTTCGATTTTTTTTTTAACAGTATAAAATTGTTTAGAAATACAGCTTGGGGGTGGCGCGGCGCCTAGCCTTGCCCCACCCCTGGTACCTACCTTGTAGTTAGGACCTAGATGTAATGTGTAGGTATATTGTATATAAACTATAAACATTATATACAATTACAATTTTCAGAATCGTTAAAAATAATACATAATTATGAATTATTTTTGTCTTGTTGCATTGCTGATGTCCATTGTCCAGTTGTTTTCGTTTTATTTTAAATTTCATATTTGTGTATTTTATTCAGCTTAGTACTTATTGAAATGTGCAATATTAATACTATTGAAAAATACATAAATACTATATTACTAAATATAAAATTATTTAGTGAATATAAAAATAAAGTATGTTTTAACATTTTTGTAGGAAATTTATTTGAAAATAAAAACGCACTAGGTACCTACATTTAACCAGAGGCGGAAAATTTACGCCCGGGGAAAATATTAAAATTAAGCCTAATCATAGACCAAGATTGAAAATACAATATCATTCCCTACAATTGTTTTATCATAACTGGAACTAAAATTACAAACATAAGTACTTATTAACTTTTAAACACATAATAATATATAGTAATTAATATATTCTGTGGACTGTGGTGTAACCAAGTTTATACTAATAAACTATCACACCAAAAACACTTTAAATTTAAAAACTTAGTTAACATATTGTTGATACATTTTTAATTACTGGAAATACTGTAGTGGTTACTTAATTGTATTTATTATTAGAAATAATAATAATATTTTTTATATATAAATGTTGAAAAATAATCAAAACTTTAATTACCTACCTATCCTGTATAAAAATTATAAACCCTTAAATCCCTTTTGCTGTTTTGGTTCTATGCGCCTCAGCCTTCAATTAAAATAGATTTGTATGGTAAAATATAAAATCTTTTATTCTGATTAGGGTACACAATTTAGGCCAGTAAAAAATTGTATTTAATTAAACAATTTATAATAGAAAAATGAAAAAGTAAATATTTAAAATCAAATCTTTTTTTTAAACATAAACAAATGTATAACTATCTTGGTAAATATTATAATATATAATATTATAAACTATATATTAACATCATTTTTAATATACAGATATAATATACGTATCGTACGTTGATTGATAATCTTATAACAGTTATTGTGTAGGTATCAGAAATTTTAACGAAAACACAGCATCAATAAATGCCTAGGTATAGTTACTAGTTACATTTTCACTCAGAATCTTAATAATTATAGTATATTAGTTGTATATGCTTGAAGTAGGTATGCTAATGCCAGTACCTATACCAGTATATACTTAGTATACTAATACGAATCTATTCATAATACCATTAACTTTATTTTTTTTTTTCATTAATTCCAACGTCATCACTACAACATCATAAACAAATAATGTGAAATAAAAATGTTTTCTTAACTTCTATCATCAAGCATTAAATAAAGAACTAAAGAAAAATTACGCCCACTAAAATTTTACGCCCGGGAATCAATCCCCGGCTTCACCCCCCTAGTTCCGCCCCTGCATTTAACTATAGGTTTTTACTAGGGGCAGAGGCCTAATACATGCCCTAAGTGGACTCTAACACTCTGTTGTCTTTTATCAATCGTAATATTCTTAATTTGTAAAAACATAACTCTGATTTCATAACATTTCTGTCTTGGTGATAATAACGCTCGTGTTTAGTCGTTCAAGCAAGATAATAGAATTTCCATTTAATTATTGAGCGGACGCCAACGCCGTTGTCGTGATATAAATCACAGTGGTAGGTACATATAATTATACCCAATACCCATTGTTATTATTATTCTAATCTAGGTATATACGTTTGTATAACATTTCATATTTTCATACATTACATTATATTTATAAATGTATAATACATCGCGTTCACGCTCTCTCCTTATACACTTACAAAACAATAATATCAACAACAATAATAATTCACTGCAGCAAAATACACGAAGTTATATTATTCCGTATTCGTATAATATGTAATTTTTATAAAGGGATAGTGGACAGTCTCACTGCACGCGTGCAGCCAAAATCGTATGTAATAATAATTATGACACTTGGACACGAATATTATTAACATTATAAAATTTGTGTGCACTGTTATAGTGTGCATAAATTAAATGAAAACACGTTCAAAAATAGTAGTTGTTTAAAATAATAGAATTCATTCAATCGTTTACACTAGGTTTGATCGATAATCGTCTTCGATGCGTTCTAAATGAGTGCTCAAGAATTCATCCACTGTATCGGTGTCCCATCGTTCGATTGCCAAAACCTATAAATTAAATATTGTGTTAGTACAGGACACGAATTAAGATATCTTAATTCGTGGTACAGGCATTGAGTGTATAATGTATATTGTATAAGAAATATATACTCAATGTCTCTTTGATATAGGTAATAGAAGTATTATAATATTACGTTAATATATAATAATGAATTGATGATTTTTTTTTTTAAGCTCAAATTGTTTATTACATAAATATAAATGTATGAGATATATTAAAATGTACCTAAAATAGATTATCTCGATTACGAATCTATACAAAAATTATTATTTAAGAGGACGTGATACCCGCGACCCGCGAGGTTGTCTCCGTCATACTACTATACTAGTGCTTAGCATAGCAAATTTTACGCTCATCAGAACATGTATAACTCCGTTAATTTAAAAATTAGAGTGAAATCTAAAGGTATAATCATTATCAAGGCAACCTTGAGGGCTTTTTATTAAATTTTTATTTTAAATCAAGTTATGAGTATTTTAAGATGTACAAACAATTTACCATTTTAAAATACTCATAACTCGCTTTAAAATTAACATATAATAAAAATCCCATAAGGTTCCTAGATAATGAATAATGATTAAACCTTTAGATTTTATAAGAGGTCAATTCACTCTAATTTTTAAATTAACGGAGCTATACACGTGTTCTGCTGAGTATACAATTTTCTATGTTTACTACACACTTGTAAGAAGGAGACAACACATGCGGGTATCACATCATCTTAACAGCTCACGAAGAACAATAGATTAGTTTATATGAAGAACTCATGGCGCAAATTGGGGGGCTCCCTTGTAGCCCCCCCCCAAAAAAAAAACCTAGGACATACAATTTTAAAATGCTATATTGAAATGGACTGCTTGCCTAAAATATATTCAGGCCCTCCAAGTCAAAAGTTGAAATTGCGCCTATGTGTATTAGTAATACCAAATAATATAATATAAGTAAGTTTTTATGATCTATGACTTAAATTATAGCCTATAGGTTATAATGATTTTAATGAATTTATACCTCTTGCACATTTCCACTGCTGTCCATGAGCTTAATTAATGGATCCAACCCACGTACATATCTGATCGTTAAGTTAGGGTACTTGTTGGGACGATCACTTTTTATAAACGCTAAAACATTACAAAATTATATAATTTGTATGATAGGTACTTTTTATATAATATTATACAGTTATTACTTATTTAAATTAGATAATGTTTAAAAATAAACAATCAATAAAAATCTCATTTAAAACAAAAATATGTTAAAATAATATTTCTTTTCAATATGAATGAGACAAGTTACGATTATTATTTTGAAAATAATTTAATAGTTCACACAGCTTCAATCATTCAATTAATTTTTCTTTGTTTTGTTAATCTAATTGCAGATGAAATAACAAAAAAATAAAAGTTATTCACAATTTAAATAATGATAATTAATTTAGCAAAAATTAAAACTATTTATTAAAAAAATAACAAAAAAGAATTTAAATTGATAGAAATAAGTATTTCTCCAAACCAACTACCAACCTCCAATATCTCAAAAAAAAAATTGTAATAATAACTAAAAATATATAAGTATAACATTATGTTGTACAAGCAACAAAATGGTGTTATGATTGATGACACACAATAAAATTAGTTTTTAATTAATATGATGATAATGTTTATTTTCCAATATTATAAAATACACCTAATACCAAAAACTCATATTTAATAACTAACACAAAAACTTAGTTATAATTCAAAATATGAGATGTATATTGTATTGGTTAGAACAATGAATTTTTATAATATATAATACAATATAACTTAGATAGAATATAATAAATCATCTTACAATAATTTTTATGTATTATCATTTATCACTAAGTTCCACATCAACCGACTATTTTTGATTGCCTTACATCTTTACTAAATAATAATAATTGTTTACCCCCTAAAAATATTTGTCAAAGTAGTTTTATTTTATCGCTAGCTGAACATATTGATATGACTAGTAGGCAGTGTTGGGTAAGTTACTTTTTAAAAGTAACTAAGTTACGTTACTAGTTACAAAATAAAATAGGTAACTAGATTACTTGTTAGTTACTCAAGTACAAAAGTAATTTTTACTCAAAAGTAACTAGTTACAATGACGCAGTAATCCGTACATGACAGTCTATCCATATGTCAATGTACGTATTTTATCAGATATGATCAAAAAATAAATAAACTATATCAGTTGCTGCCTTTATAGACTGTAATCGATGATTATAATTAGTTAAATTAAAAATAATAATAAGACAAAATCGTTTATTTATATAATTATATTAGATTATACTGGGAAAATGTTGTAATTACATAAATACCAACTTAAATTATTAATATAATTACATTAATTTCTGATGTGGATACGAGGGGAAGGACTGTCGTGAAGTAGCACCCCTCACTATGTTACAGTAACGAGTAACGCACGTTACATTACTACCCAACACTGCTGGTAGGTCATCAATAGAGTAACATAATATTACATTTGTTGGATAATTTATGTTATATTACTAAGTGTCTTGTCTAATTTAACACTAAAAACCTAGTTTATTCCCTAGTTTTCCTAAAAGATTGATAATGACATAATATGATTATGTTTTATAGTTTCAATCATGTAACAAATCAAAATTATTTTCATTTTAATTTGTGGATGGCTAAGCAAAGAAAATATTACTTTGTGGAGTTCTCATACACTAGGACTTTCTACCAATTAATCTGACCCTTCTTATTTTATAGTTAACATAGACAACTTTTAATTTCTTACCCAATACATTTGAAACACTAAATGTGTAAATAAATTGTGACGTTAAATACAAATATTCACATATTATATGATAAATTATATCAATTTAAAATTAAATTTGATCATATACCTTGTATCTGAGGATAAGCACCAAATTTACAAGTACAGACTTCCAATCTGGCTTTTGCATATACTTTAATAGATTTTTCTTCATCAATTTGACAACAGTTTGTGCAGTGTTCTCTGTAATAAAGTACAATAATTTTAATTTATTTTATATTTGAATCTAATTCTAATCATATTATTGAAAGAATACAAATATTCTTAAGTATATATTAATATGTTAATTAATACATTATGTTATACCAGCATTTATTGTTTACACCTTACATGGCTTACAAACACACAACATAGTATATTTTACTTTCAGAATAAATTATTTATAAAACGTTCAGTTCATCTTGACACTTGGCAACTATTACAAAAACTATATGATATTTTTTCAATAAAATATGGTTTTCGGAACACTGTTTTTTTTTAAATTGTAATACTTTAAATAATAATGATCATTTTATAATATTATCATACATTGTTTGTGAAAATTAACACATGCAATTACAACGTCTACTTAATTTTTAAAACAATGTCCATTCTATTTAATGTTTATGAAATAGAATAGGTATAAAGTTTTTATTTTTTTGTTGTTTTTAATTTTTTTAACATTTTAATCAAATGCCATGTGTACCGTAATTTTTATATTTCAAACAAAAACTACCTTTGGTTAGGAATTATTCTTTGAATTATTACTATTTTAATTTTTAATTTAAAAGTTATAAAAGTACCTTCTCCACTTAATACTTTTTTCTTCTACATAACATACAATTTCATATTTTTAATTATTTAATGTTTTTAAAGTACAATTTTTTTCATTATTAGGTTACACTAATTCCGAGATTTTAATTTAAAATTTAGGGTATATTTTAACTTTTTAGTGACAAAAATCTAACATCCATTTAATTTCTTAATTAGCTATTATAATTAATTGTTCTGCATTTATATTTTGTTTTGTAATTATTTTGTTTTTAACCTACATATAAGTTATGTATTCTTTTAAAAGGCTAATGAATTAATGAATTCTACATTATAATACCAGTTAATAATGTTTTAAACTTAAATACATATTTAAACTGGAAACACCTTAACCATAGTCTTAAAATAATATTTATACCTTAATGATGTCAGTTGGAACTTTTTAAGCTGATCACAAGATGAACACAAAAGATTTGCTTTATTGAAACCCAGTAATGAACATTCATTAGTCGTATAATCTCCATTGCATCCGTTCCCCTGTCATAGACAAACATTTATTATGGTTAATTATTTAAAAAAATGAAAATTTGAAGAAAAAAAAATGTATAGGTAAATTATTTGTAAGACATACAAATAACATCAATAGTGGAATTATTAAAAGTTTCTTCTGCATTTTGGACGTAGCTTTTAAGTAGATATTAAATATTTTGAAACAAATTAAACACAAAAACAAATTGCATCAGAAATGAAAATTTACCCTGCTAACTATTATATAATAACAAACTTTTTATGAATTTAATATTTTTAATTCAAAGCCAATTTGTATTTAATTTATTACAAGAATATATTTAAAAAAATTAGAATTTATATTTGAACAAATAGATTTCGGTATTTTGTTTACATTACGGTTATCATTTTCTATCACAGTCGGGCTTATCATCTATCGTGTCGTGTGCTTTTTTTGTTTTATTCTGATTGGCCACAGTAATCAATATTAATAAATTATGGTATCATTCACTCCAACAGTACCACTTACCAGTTACCAGTAGACAGTACAGTAGTCCCAGAAGACCAAAATATTATAATTATTACTATCCAACTAATAGGCAATATTCCTGTTAATTTAAATTAAATTAATTAGTTAATAGCATGATTGAAATATATAAAAATTAACCGTTAACCAGTTTACTATTTTGCTAATAATATGCCAGAATCACGAACGACAGGAACGGGTTGGTGATCAAATGAAATAAAAGAACAACGTCCAAAACTCCAAATTAAGTTTACGAGTTCTTTGACAAATAACCTCAAACATTTCATACTTCCCTTCGACCCCTCAGCGACCCAAACATTGCAAATTTAATGATTAGAAATTATCAAACTCGATACATCCTTTAATATTTTATGCATGTTGCTTATTATTCATTTTCCTGTTTGAAGTTTCCATTTTAAGTGGATATTTCGGACCATAAGAATATCGATATAACTTGGCGGATAGAAGAAAAAGGTAATTCTTACGAACTCTAACCATATGTTGATTATATTTTTCATGATACATCGTGTATTTATCAAACAGATATTGAATCATTGAATTATAAAGACATAAACTACAACCACGTGTCCTATTTTATTTTAAACTCGTTTGTTGCAAACAAAAATCGTTTTCTATAGGTAATTTACCATAATTATTGATTTTTAGCAAAATGCAGATCTTCGTGAAGACGTTGACTGGGAAAACGATCACTCTCGAAGTAGAGTCGTCGGATTCAATTGAAAATGTGAAATCCAAAATTCAAGATAAGGAAGGTAAATACTACAATATTATACAATTAAAAAATACTACTCCTGCATTATGATCCCGGTACCAATAAAATTCAATTGTTCAATAAACTTATATAATTTTTTATATTGCTTCTGAACACCACTGTGGTTACATAGAAATGTGTGAAAGTATAATTAAAATTAAACATGAATATTAATAACATATTATTATATAATTGTACGAACAACGACTATTTAATTTGTTAAAAACACTTCGTTTATGTCTGTTGGTTCGGTCACTTATCTGTTTTTATATAGATCTAACAAATTTACATCAAATAATTAGTCTTATTGAATAAAAAAATGTTGTACGTGTGAGATATAGGAAACACATGTGGATTTGGTATCAGATAATAAAATTAAGAAATAAGGTTTAAAAGTTTATAATGAATTATGGTAAAAAATAAATTCACTCAGGAAAAGACGCACACGGAAAATAAAAATTAATAAATTATATGAGTTTTAAATTTCTATTTTGTTGTTCAAGTTTAATCTTATTTAACATTTTTATTATTATATGATACCTAGAGTTGAAGTTCTGAAAAATGTCTCGTATGGTAGTTAAGATTAGTGGTAGCTTGTAACTTCATAAGTGTTGAAGGTATTTTTTAAATAATCTTAATGATGAGAATATAAAAGGATGTCACACCTGCATGTGTTGTTTCCGTCTTACAAATAAACTTAATAAACTGTTCTGTGTGAGACAATTTTACTCCCTCTGTATTTATAGTAGAATTACCTAAATTCCACAATGCATAGGGAAAAACCTTATCTGTGTCGTAGTGTTCTTATTATTTTGTTAGCATTAATATACATTTGAAGTTATAAATTTGAGAACATTATGTTGTTTTTATTTTTTTCATTTAATTATTAAAAATTATTGATTAGTGCTATCAAAAAAATGAAAATACTTCAACACAGTTAATGTTCTTCTCTATACGTTGTGGAATTTTGGTAGTTCTATTATAAATATAGAGGGAATAAAATTGTCCCACGCTAAAACTGTTTTGTCTTTGTTGTATGTTTGTAAGACGGAGACAACACATACGGGTGTGATGTTATCTTTAGATCCATATTATGATCAGAATTGTGACTTCCTAACGTTGGCACCTGTATAATAACTATCATATTATACATACGGTAGTTCTGTGAGCTAGTACGATACCAAATGGATATCTTACATAGATAATAGAATAATTGAAAATAATTAGATTTAAATCTGATTTCCCCAATATCTTATAATTTTATTTGTACCAATCGCTTAATTGTGATATGATGTGAACGTCAGGGTAATTTTATACATAAATTAACTAATTGAAAAACTACTGAATATAAAGTATGATCATGACCGCGTATATTTTTTTTTTTAGGGGCAATGTATAATTTATATAGGAAACCAACAATAAAAATAAGGTGACGTCATGCATATACATTTATTCTTATGCAGTGTAGTGTATGCATAAAAACACAAGCCGATGCTTGTCGTGTTGACCATACTTTTAATTTCTTAAGAGGACGCTACACTCACATTCGTTGTCTCCGTCTTACAAGTGCGTAACATAGCAAATTGTAGGCTCCGCAGATCACGTTTATCTCCCTTGGTTTAACAGTTAGAGTAAATTGACCTCCTATTAAATTTAAAGGTAAGATTATTATCCAGAGCATCTCATATCCTTTTTATTATATTTTAATTTTAGAGCGAATTATTACTATTTTAAAATTGTAAATTGTTTGTACATCTTAAAATACACGATATTCGTTTTAAAATTAAAATATAATAAAATGCCTATGAGATGCCCTGAATAATAATCTTACCTTTATATTTAATAAGAGGTCAATTCACTCTAACTTTTAAACTAACGGAGATAAACGTGATCTGCAGAGTGTAAAATTTGATATGTTACGCGTTTGTGAGACGGAGACAACACATGCGGGTGTGGCGTCCTCTTAAGCTATGGTAATAACTATATCTACCTATATAGTCTATATAAAACAATTCTAAATTACATAAATAATTGTTAAAATGAAAAAGACAATTAAAATTATAGGTATATATTTTTCTTCTATCTTATAATTATAGAGGCGAGGCTGTGCCACTTATGGAAGCCTCTAACCATAACTTTTGATGACATAAAAAATGAAATAAAATTGAACTAAATTGGGCCTATCAAGTGAATGTACGAATTAAAAAAGTTGAGAGATATTCCCTCATTTTGACGATTGTATACTGATCAGTTATTTAATTAAAAGTTAATTATTATTTGTTGTAATTTCATTATTTTAAGGAAATCAACAAACAAAAAATGTACATGATATAACTGAATGATTAATTGATAATTTACAATCTAATTAAGTGAATTATTATTGTAGTTGAAAATAATTTTAAATACTTTTCATAGATCAAATATATTATTTAAGTTTATTAATTTGTTAAAATTAATTTAGGAATTCCTCCGGATCAGCAGCGTTTGATATTTGCCGGCAAACAACTTGAAGATGGCCGTACTTTGTCAGATTACAACATTCAAAAAGAATCTACCCTCCACTTGGTTCTTAGACTGAGAGGTGGTGCTAAAAAACGTAAGAAGAAGAATTATTCTACACCAAAAAAGATCAAGCACAAGAAAAGGAAGATTAAGTTGGCTGTGTTGAAATTTTACAAAGTAAATAAAAATTTGATGATTATATTTATAATACATAATTTAATAATACTGTTGGAGTCGCGATAACTCATAGTTAAAGGGAGGTAAAAAAAATTCCTTTAAAACCTAACCTCAAGGGAATAAAAAAATTGAGTTATCAAGTTTTTCAAGTTATTGCCACGTGACTGCGTTAATTTTAACATATAAATAAATTTTTTTGTTATTTTATAGGTTGATGAAAATGGTAAGGTTATCCGTTTGAAAAAAGAATGTACTTCTGAAAATTGTGGTCCCGGAGTATTCATGGCTGACATGCCAAACAGGCATTATTGTGGCAAATGTTCAGCTACTGTTCCAAAGTAGAGATGACCCTTGTATATTTTAAATACATAATATAAAACTTTAAAAAAAAATGTTTTATCATTCATTACCTATTCCGAATACAAATCTTTATCCGTATAATAATTTTTAAATCACTTATAAAAGTGTCAATTAGGTTGTAATTGTATTGGTAATAATGTGCTCTAAATTCTAATGCATTGTCTGATGTAACTTAATAACTTAGCGTCTTAACTGTAATAACGATTGAAACTATTACTAGGTATATCAAAATATGTGTGACAAATATTATATCAATAGAATTGTTGGTAGTTAGGTACTTAAATAATTATTTATTGTTCAATTCATTCAATATGAATCATAGCCCATAGGTGTATGCCACCAGATATTCAACTACATACCCTCCTCAATGCTCTTGTTAGTGTGAATACTATTTTTTATTTTCACATATTTCTCATTGACTGAATTATCAATTATATAAATACAATTTTAAAAATCGCTATATATTAATTTCATAATACTGTTAGTTTATGTCACTATAAATATGCTATTGAAACATTACTTGATTAACATGGTTCTCCTTCTTGGTAATAATACATTAATTTTTTTTTAGTGGTAAATACTAAAATGTGTGTTCTACCGACGTTATTTCACTAATGTGTACCTTAAGTTAACACGAGTTTTACTTAAAATAATAAATACTGTTTATATACTAACTAAACCGTCCATGGTGTCCAAATGAGATTCAGTTATAAGACAGTCTCCAAACTGTATTCATTCTCAGACTCAGTTTAGCACATTTTCACTCTTAAATACCATCTTTAAGGCTACATGCAACCAGTAATATGTTCAATAATAATTAATATGATATAGGACAATATATTGTCCCCTATGCATTGAAACTAGAGATGAGTGCTGTAAATTGACCAGTAAGTTATTTGTTACCCATAAATGTTGTGAGCCCCTCTAACCAAATGCGATCAAAAATGCCTATCCTGAATTGTAAATAGATTTTTTTTTATCAATTGATAATAAATACCTATGCAATAATTATTATACTAATCATACTTTCAATTTTCTCGACACTGTATATAAGCAATAATTAAAAGTAAATAAATATAAATGTTTTGACTTTTGAACATAAAAAAATAAAGTCAAATGCTGTGTTTATTTTGAAAATGTTATTTAAATTATTTATTAATTGTATTATGAATAGTTAAATATTCACTGATACAGAACAATCTATTCATTTTTAGTTTTTTATTCTTATTTAATAAAGAACTAAATTTGTCAATATTATACAAAAATAGAAATATCAATCTTATTTACCAATTAAAAATATGGCTCTAAGAAATTTTATTATTTAATCTTAGATTCTATTTTCCCATTTTTAACACTTGGTAAGTTAACCGATATGCTTGTTTGCATAATTTCTCCATCTCTAGACTAACTGAAGGCAATAAGCTTTACAAATTATTAATTATAATGTTAATTTTTAAATAAATAACCCATTGAATGTTTAGTTTTTATAAAAATTTCAATAATAAATTGATGGAGTTAAATTTAAACTTTGAAGGAAACTGGAAAGTAGGTACTGAAAATACTGTGAATACTTCCAAAACGAGATTTTTGAATAAAAAAATGTAATCTTTTACTAGTAACTTTTTTAAATTTTACTTTTTCTAATGACGACACATACCTACGTTTTTAATTCCAATGCAGAATATAGCACGAGTTCTTGGAGTTATTATATAAAAATCAAATTTTGGAAACGACTATTTTATAAGTCATTAGTTTAGTTACTACATTTTGCAGGGTACCCCTAGGCCCTAGCTCTGTCACTCCACACCGCTCGCGTGTCAAAACTTTAAACACTTATCGACAACTCGTCCAGAATTTGAATTTTCAAAACTATTATATATCATTATTATCAAAATCTTACTGTTTCGTTTTGCTTTGAAATATCGAATCAAAAATGTATGTTGTCATGCGAAAAAGCAAAGGAAAAATCAAAAAACTTTAGAAAAAATATAACGATTCAAATATAATATATCTTTTTTTCGAAAATGGTGTTTTGTAACGTCCTAAAATTATGTATAACAAAAAAATTGTTTTAAAAACGTTAAAAGTTTTTTTGAACAATGAAAGTGTTTTTCAATAAAATAATAACCACCACAATCCAATATATAGTATTTTGATTGGGCGCTATTAACTATAGGTACTGTTTTGTATGTAATAATTAATAAATACGCGACTTTTCGTCTCAAAACCGTAACCGTTAGCTAACGTGTATGGACTTAAGGTACTTAAGACATCGTGTTACAAACGTGCAGCTATTACCTTTACCTATAATATTATCTATATCTAATAATTATATCGTTATTACGTGTCTGCATAAAGATAACCGGTTACCTAGTGTAGTAGGTACCCATAGACCTATAAAGAAAGATCTTATTATGTCTATGGTAGTACCTACCTATGTCCTATAGTGGTATACGTATTTAATTGTCGCAAACTCGAGAGCAATTCAACGGTTTGTACAGTCTTTGAACAGTGTGCCTGTGACCTGTGTAGGTATACATTTGGTGTGGTAATAATATAACATACACATACGTCTTCCTTAAGTCACGTAGGTGTACGATACAACTAAATAGGGTATAGACTATAGACAGAGGGTCGCTTACGTGGGTGCGGGGTAATAATAATACTCCCTAGACCCAAAAAATATTAATCTACGTTGGCGTTTGACGAATATTATATTTTTATTTTTATAACATAGGTACTTACATAATATTGGAACGAATATCGTTATTTTGAAATTATTTACGGATTTGATTACCATTTACCCAAGTATATATTTTCATCCCGGAAATAAAACCGTTTTATGAATGTGGCGGGTATTATTCGAAATAATTGAAAAAGTAGTTGCGTCACAGCAAATAATACATGTAATAATTATTTAAATATTAAGTTTGATTATTATATTATATTATACAACCCGTTACTCATAATATTATGTTTTATGTAGCCATGTAGGTATATTGAAGTTTATTTTAAAAAAAAATTAAGCCATACTATTACCTGGTACCTACATTTTTACTGAATCCAACCCGCAGTCATTGTCAAAATATCCTCAGTTGTAGACATGATTTAAGATAATATTATACATATTATTAAGATTATTTCTGTATAATATTATGGGATGTGCGTGTATAATATAAAGAATCCGGGCTATCGTTTTCGGGATCGGGAAAAAAATTCGGGCGTTGTATTTTAGCAATAAAGTTTTTTTCCTCATCGTCCTGTTCGTTCTTCGGTGTTCGTGGTCGCCGTGACCCGCAATCCGCAAAGAAAAACGAGATCACCTCGGGCCAAGATTACGGGTGAATCCAATTTTCGGAACAATTCTAGTTTAGCACCCACTCGAATTTTTCGAGTTTTTTTTCGGAAACCTATGTATTTCGACGTGTATAAAACGATGGTGTAAAAATTAGTTTGCGGAAATGATTATTTTGGAAGTTACAGCCTTCCAAAGTTTGCGATTTTACGTTTATACGCATGCGCGCAACACTACTATAATGCCCCCCGGAGGACTTCGATATTTTTATATTAAAAGTTACGAGTCCATATGCATAGTTAATTTGTGTTTTCACTCCTTGACCTGTTTACATAAGTATATATTGACTCCCTTCGCCTATCGGCTCCGGTCGCCAGTTAGAGTAACATAAGTCTATAGAAGCTCCCTACGCCTGCCGGCTCCGGTTGCCAAACTCGAGGTCCTGCGGACCTCTCGCTGGATGCGGGCTCGGCCCCCAAACCCCCCGGGGCTTAAATAGCAAACCTGGGGGAGGGGGAGGGATGGCGATCTAACAAGTAATTTTAACCTTGTTAGTTAACGTATCACAAGTATAGTGATTAGTGGCTCTGGTCTTCAAACTCAAGGGACCTCGCTCCCGTCGCCTATCGGCTCCGGTCGCCATTTAGAGTAACATAAGTCTATAGAAACTCGAGGTCCTGCGGACCTCTCGCTGGATGGGGGCTCGACCCCCAAACCCCCCGGGGATTAAATAGCAAATCTGGGTGGAGGGGTAGCGACCCCTTCAGGGTCGCGGGGGGAGAGAGCATACCTGCATTTCGGGCAGACGGATGACCTAACAAGTCAATTTTTTTTGAAACTAGATAAATCAACGTTTTACAAATGATGGTACCAATGTAAATGGCTAATTTACCTAATCTAAGTTTTCAGTTTATATTATAATCCATAAACACACTGTATTCAGACAAATAAAGTTATGTTGTACCATAGAACAATAGTTGTATAGTAATATAGTATGTATAGTGATAACACGTCTGAGGCACTCGTCGCTGCGCTTATAGTAGTAAACGTAAAATCGCAAACTTTGGAAGGCTGTAACTTCCAAAATAATCATTTCCGCAAATTAATTTTTACACCATCGTTTTAAACTCGTCGAATACATAGGTTTCCGACAAAAAATCGAAAAATTCACGTGGGCGCTAAACTAGAATTATGCCCAATTTTCGATTAAGTTGTCCGGTTTTAGAAGATCAATACTTACTGTATTTTTTTCCTGGGAAGATACCTCGGAGATCGACATTTCAACAATAATCGAACTTTCGTATAATATATTTATTCCGCGTACATAATCAAAATAGATGAATATTGCCGAGTAAGAGAACACGTCGTCAAACATCAAATCGCTATCTGAGACTGTAAAGATGCAAATGATTTTTAACGAACTTAGCTCGAATACTATATAGACCAAAATCGCTCGACAGCTGTAATTTCGGTAGATTTCCGCTGCACAAGAAATGTATTGCTCTACCAAATATGGACTTTCGTGCAAATTCTCCGCGACCTACAGAGGTCGGTTGGAAATCCGCTCCCGAATTGATGTCACCGGCTGTCGACCGTTTACCGGTGCAGCTCAAGGAATGGCCGTGCGTGGAAATTTCTAGGGCGATGCTCCAGAAATTGGATTGTCGTTCGCAGAGTTGCCCGTTTC